ATTATTTAATCCCTTCAGTTTCTCAAATAACTTTAGCTGCAATCTTATCCCGAGGCTTAGTTCACGGAAGCAAGCCTCGAGCTTGACTGTATCGTAGTGTTCGTCATAAAGGCGATAGGACACCGACAGGAAGATGAAGTTTTGGGCTTCTGTACCCCACGATGCCGTTATGGCTTCGCATCTAGCTTAGTCCCTCGCCAGGAAATGTGCTTCTCGTCACTTTAAGTTGCGATTCTGTAGCCGTAGCACTACTGGAGACTGCTTCACACGAGTATAGAGCAGAAGGAGGTTAGTTTTGATTCTAGGGGTGACATGATTCTTCCCAATCGCGGTTGTTGTTCCAATCACGGGACTATTTCTTGAGCTGAAGTCACATAATCGTCATATGTCGTGATTCATTCCTTCCCCACGTCACGATCTACCATCTTGCCTCCTCTGTTGCATTGTTGTCTTCTCCGCAAACTTTAATCGCGGCTATAAGATGAGGGTTGTTTCCTAAAAGTGTTGCTCTGATACCAATTTGATACCATTTGTCATAGAAATTGACACTGATTTTTACAGAAATTAGGGAAAACAACAACTCACACAAATACAAAAAATAAGCACCTATAATTCGAGAGGTAGGCGGTCTCTCCTAATTCATACAATTTGAGAGTTAAGAAATCTCTTTCTAACCCTAGACCTAAGATTCACAACTCAATCTCATGCATCACCACAACCCTAAACATAATAAGCTTATTTATACCCAACAATTGTAATAATAAAAGACTAAATCGCCCTTTGGCGTACAAAAGACAAATTTACCCTTAGGCAGGGATCCTCGTAACAAATTGACTTATAATTTGGTGAGGTTTTGTAGCTTGCGACAAATAGAGACAACAAAAGTCATTGAGCGGGGCCTGAGACAGACTATTAGGCCTTTTGGAGGCGGCTAGGGATTCCTAGGCTTGCACTATGGTGCAAAGACAGAACTTGTTGGTTAGCGTTTCTATGTGCTTCTATTATACATTTGTGGACATTATGGCCCCTTATTATTGTAAATTCTTGGTGAATAAAAGGTTGGGAAATTTCTTGTAAGTCGTGATATAACCTTTTTTGTTTCTGTATCCGATGTGGGAAGGCTAAAATCTAGATATCTCGACTTGCCTAACAGAGACTCGGTCTGGTGAAACCATGCCAACGGGGAATTTTGATTATGACGGAGTTGCTTGAAGATCACCATTGGATGTTGTTAATATTTTAGTGTACTAGCTAAAATTATCAGTGATAGTGATGCGTGGTTCACAGAAACTTTTGAACGTCCTTGTTTAGATCAATGGGATTTGATTTATTTGTTTTTCACAACAAATTATCTCCAAATGGTGGCAAAGAGAGCGTATCAGTGCCCTTTTGGAAGAATATTTGAGGGGTTATATCACAACAAACCAAGGGAAATAATTAGACCTATGGATTAATGCATCTGGCACAAATCTTCTGCAACGAATAAAATCCCCTTTGATTTTATGCTGAGACGACCACCACTAACTCCCCTTGATGTTGCAAGGCAATAGTTTGGTGGCAAATATTCTGCTGCATATTATTAGGGAAGGACATGCAGGAGCTGATTGAAGAAGCGAAAGATTCTTGCAAAGGCATGTAACTACACGAAGAAATATTTGGATTAGGGGCACGGAGCATTAGTGTTTAATGTTAGCAACAATGTGCTATTGAAATCAGTTCTACATATGTGGAAGTAGATTCCAACCAAGGTGGCATTGTTGACTAGTTTATAGCAGGGTGGATATTTTTATGTGTTTTGTTTACAGGGTTGCGAATTTCTGTGATCATATGATTTGGAATGTGGCTCAATTTAGCATATTTTATTTTCTTCTTTATTTCTTTCCTATTTCTATCTTTCTGATTAGGTTCTTTTGATAGAGGACTATTTGTATCCTCTATTTTCTGTTTTTTTTTCAAACTTTTGATTTGTTTTGAGTTTAGGGAGATTGTAATTTTTATTTTTTTGCCTTCAGGAGTACTATATCCTTTCTTTTTGCATTGGCTTGACCGCAACGTGCTCAAGAATAGGTGGTGAAACCTCATCGTTGCTTGAATGTTGCCGATGCAGAGTTACCTTATATTATTTTTAGCTAGGACAGTTGTCGATGACATCGAACTTGCTGTCCAACAACAGATTTATACCTGTAATCCAGTCGAAAACTAGGTTGAACTCCCATTTTCATTTCCCTTTCCATTCCACAACCACATCTTCACTAAATCTCATTCCAAAGTATCTTCTTGGAGCCTTAGAACGGTATCACTCTATATCAGAGCTCAACAAACCAAAAATTTATTTGGGATTTATCGTTTCTATGCCTACCAAAAATTTTACATAACTTAAATATTCCACCAATTCAATGCCCAAACTATTCCTACCGCAATTTCTTGCTTGGAATCTAAAATTTTTAAAATTCAACTTTTCTACTTCAATCAAAATTTCACTTTGACACCTACCACCAAAAACTTAAGCCGCCGACTATAATTAATTTGTATCCGCCGACGATCTAATCGGGAGAAAACGACACAATGCCGCTTAGGAGAAATCCACAAAAAATTATCCAGGAGCTTACTTTAGAAGATATGCAGCGAGAAATACTCCAATTGCAATAGCGACGCACTGCTTTCGAGAGCAGGCAATCCGGTGAGGTCACCCATAGTCACAATGGTGACTCGTCAAATCGAGAAGAAAAAGTGAATCCCTTCCACTTGATAGTTTTCAATGGCAAGAACCACTACCTGGACGATTCAACATGGAATATTGGAGAAGTCGAGATTTTGGAATAAAGGTGAATTTATTGGATTTTGACAGTCTTATGAATCCAGATGAGCTTATCTTGTGGCTTCGCACTGCGGAGCGAATTTTTTAGTACATTAATATTCCTCAAGGCAATAAAGTTAAATTGACAGCTATCAGGCTTAGAAAAAAATTTTCATTGAAGCTTATTCGATAGTGAGAAGGAAATCGTAAGATAACCACGTGGTCTAAGATGAAAATAGAGGCTTTCTCTACATTACGGGCAGGATATGTTCATTAAACTACATTTTTTGTGTCAGATAGATTCTTTATTGAAGAGTATACAATTGAATTTGTTTAACTGGTACTGAAATGTGAGTTGATGGAACAGAGGAGCACACAAAACAAGGTATCTTAGAAAACTAAGGTTGTTTATTAAGAATGTGGTGCGATTGCAACCATATTAGTTCATTTGATGTACAAACCCTATCTTTGTAGGTGGAGAAACAACATCACCAAGTGATAGCCACACTTATAGACAGAGTTTAATCCTAATATCAGACAACAAAACACACTTTGTGGAGCATCCCAGTTGACTCCGCTCGAGAAAAAATCAATTCAATTGTTGAAAAAAATGGAGACCTCAAACACTTTCAAATACATCTCAACAAAGAAATGCCTCAAGTGCTATGGTTTTGGACATGTTGCATTTGATTGCCCAAACACATGGGTGACCTATTTCACTAAGTAGGGATCAGTTGAAGAAATTGGCATTGACAAAGAAGAGGATGAAGACATCAGAGAGAAGTCTGAACTTCTAGCCAATGAGGAAGAGATGCTAGTAATTCAAGTTAATCCCATGAGAGAGACTCTAACTAGATTAACATTAGTGTTCTAAAAGTAGCGAGTTCGATGAGTTGGTACCAACAAAGAGATAGACCTTGTTAAGGGAGTCGTATATCCTGACGGACCTTTTACCTCTCGGGTGATCACCACTCAGAGTGGTTCAACGTGCAAAAAATTTCATTCCAGAGTTAGTTTTTCCAAACTTATTTATTGGATGCGCCTGACCGAGTATGAGAAATGGGAGAAGCATGTTACATATTTAATGACACGAGACTTGGCTTATGAGAACACTCGTTTATATGTTGTTCCAGATTTGGTTGTGCCAAAAAGAATGAATATTTATTCTAATAGAATAGACTTTGGAAGAACGAATGTGTTTTAAGCTGCATACAATGGATGTGAGAATAAATTTTGCAGTGGGACTGCCTCAGACACAACAAGTTGATGATTTTGTCATGATTATTATAGATCATTCTAGAAGTTGTCTGGAAGAAGATAATGCTTCTCTTACTTAGGGAGAATGATACGGGAGCTCCCTCTTTTGCAATCCCGCTTTGGTAATTATGAGAACGGTGGAGCAGTCAAGATCCTGTGATCCCGACTTGAGTTCCCCAATGGGAACTACAAATTCCTATAATACAAGATTTAGTATATGGCACCGACTTTCAATTTAGAATATTTTATTTCTTTTCTTATTTCTTTCCTATTTCCTTATTTATAATTGGGCTATTTTGAAAGGGTATTATTTTATGTCTTGCATTTTCTATTTCTTTTCAAACTTTTGATTTATTTTGAGTTTAGAGAGATTGTGATCTCTGTTTTCTACCTTGCGGGGTACTATATCCTCTCCTTTTGCAAGTTATGTGTTTGTATCTTGCTCAGGAACACGTGTTGTAACCTCCTCGCCGCCCAAACATTGCCAATTCAGAGTTTACTTTACTATTTTTCAGCTGGGGCAGCCTACGACGACATTAAACCTTTTGTGCAAAAACAGATTTATCCTCGCAATCCCATTGAATACTTCGTTGAACCTGAATTTTTCTTTCCCTTGCCATTCAACGACAACGTACCTGCTAATTCTCTACTTTCAAAATACCTTCTAGGAGCCATAGAATGGTATCAAATATTACTGTTTGTCTTGGTCTACTCCAAATACCCGGGCTAGGTCATGTCACTAAATCTCTTGAGGCTTACTTATAATTTCACTTAAACACACACACGCACACAGAGACACACACTCTCTATCTATCATTTACCTGTTTCTCGTAATAAAATGTTGGGTTGTGATACATCCATGTAAAGCTTTGGAATTAACCAAATATGCTATTTTGGCTTTATGTTTCTTACCAAAAGTACTAACTTTTACTGGACGTTTATCAAGCATGTTGCAGAAATACCGTATGAGAATGAACTAGTGATGAATTCAAGGCAAGTTGATCATGGTACTGTATCTTACTTGGAGAAGATAGGTTTGTTAGGAAGCAACTTGTTGGCTGCACACTCTGTTTGGGTGAATGAGCATGAGGTGAGCATAATCACTGTTCCAAAGACCAGGTTCTGGTACTTTTTTTGGAAATTTACATATCTAACACTCAATTCTTATTTATTTACATTTCTAACGCCCAAAGTTTTATATTTACACTTATAACACCTTCGTGTCATAAAAGTATATATGAAAAGATATTTCACTTCTAAAAGATAGTGATGTATTTCTGATATGATGTTAAAAAATTGAGTGGCATGCCTGTAAGTATGAATGTTTAGGTGTTAGATATGTAAATACATAAGAATTATGTGGTATGTATGTAAATGCCCCCTTATTTTTCTCGAAGGTGAAACTTTAACATGTTATTGATGCTTGCTATCTATTCATCTACCACTGCTCGTCTTTTTTGTATCCTTGCACTCCCATCACTGTTTATCTTCACAGAATTCAGAAATGTTATACATATATATATCTGCTTCCATGATGACATGTAATAACTTCTAAAATCAACTAGTTTATAATGGCAAGATAGAGATCCAATCCTTCAAATTTGTACAGATTGGTTTGCTTGCCAAGGCTGATGTCAAGGTATCTCATTGTCCTGCTGCTGCAATGAGAATGCTTGGATTTGCTCCTATAAAGGAAATGCTTGATCTAGGTGTGTGTGTCTCACTAGGAACCGATGGAGCACCTTCAAATAATAGAATGAGTATTGGTTTGTTTCTACATCTTGTACATTGACTATCTTTATGCTAGATTTGTTATAACGGACTCTTAGGTTAATCACATTCCAATTATCCCTAATTTTACCAGCCTTATACTAGATTTGCGTAGTTTTCTCTTAAATCCTCTTTTGAATGGATTAACTGTTTGCGTAGTTTTCAAAAATGCAAAAGGAGGAAAAAAAAAAATTTCTATTCCTAGATAATAATTTTTGAGTGGTAGGTTAAAGACCTTTTTTAAGATTTTGACATGTCCATATCTGTTTGCAGTAGATGAGATGTATCTTGCTTCACTCATCAACAAAGGGAGAGAAGCTTATACTAAAGGAACAACCAACCCAACCTGCTGAGGCGATACTAAAGATGGCAACGATAAATGGTGCAAAGTCAGTTTTATGGGATAATGAGATTGGTTCTTTAGAGGTTGGGAAGAAGGTGAGATTGCACCATGCCCCCACATCTTTTCCACTGAAAATCTGACATTTTCACTAATAATTGTGATCTATGTCTTAAATTTTATTCTGGAACGGCATTAGGATATTTAGTACTAGTTCGGCATGTTTAATATGTTCTGTTGATCGATTTTGTAAAGTTGCTTTAGAATATTTGCTAGGTATTATATTGCTTCCTTTCAAGTTGTAATTTTTTTTTTAATATTGATATTTGCATATTTTTTGTTAGGCCTTTTGTCTAAACATTTATACTCAAGGTTTTCATGCACATCATTTATAACATAGCTTCTTCTGTATAGAGGGCACATAGCTTTATAACTTGACTGCTATTTTCTTTATTTTTTTTCTCTTAACATTTAGAATTTTAAATTTTGCTGTAAATCTTAAACTTAAATAAATTAATAGTTTTACTAATTAATTTTTAAACGTTAAATGCTCATCTTCTACTCTCCATATTCTTCCTTATTTCCTCCTGATTTTATTCTGCTTCACACCCAAAAGTTTTGCAAAAAATAACTTGCAAATTAAGGAATTAAATTAGGATTTGTCAACTCTCAGAGTTAAAATTTTAGTTCACAATTTATCTATGATTCGGAACAAAATAAAGATAAAAGTTCTATTCTCGATTCCCATCACCATGTTGCAATCACTTCCCGTTCTTCTTTAATCTTCTTTGCTTTCTCCCTTCTCTTAGTCATCCTCTCATTGTCTATTTATTGCTCTTAGTCTCCACTCACCATCACTGGCTTTCTTTCTCAGACCCTCCAACTTGCTCTTTTAACTAATTCATTTCCTACTCATATTCCCCCTCGATCTTTCTATTAATGCAATTTTGGTGTTGGTTTGATTGAACCAGTGTTGCTGGCTCTTTTTTTCTTACAAAGACAGTATTTGGTAGTGTATTATTTAGCTTAAATTCAGCTAAACATTAAAAAAATAAAAATAAAAATAAATCCAACGTTCCGTTAAATCTAATTTTCGCGTGTCCTATCTAATTCTTCTCGCGTTCTGTCACTTATACGTATAAATCCAGATTCCGTAAATCCGATTGCGAGTCGGATTTATTCGCCGTCGCTCGCGATTTGTTTTGGTCACCGACTCGATTTGATAAATTTAGATTTATCGGATTTGATAAATCCTTTTTAACTTAAATCTATCGTGCAACCAAACACCCCCTAAACTAGGTTTTACAACATTTATAGACGAATAGGAAAAAGGTATGCATAAAATAGGCTAACGATTCAAAAGTAGGTTAACAATTCATGCTGCGCTTAGCATGACTTAAAAAGAACGATAATTCATAAAATAGATACTAAATAATTGGATGATGATATGGTTTTCTTTTTTTATTTATTTTAAAAAATAAATGGAACATTGTCGGCCGTTATTTTTGAAAAAGGGTGATTTTTGTAAATATAAAAATAGTTTTAATGTAAATATGATTTTTTGAAAGTAACATTTTAATTTAAAAATAGATGAGAACAAATAAGTCTCACATATTAAATAATTTGGACGGTTGAGCGCGATACCACTATTAATATACTATCCCGAATGATAAGCATACCACTTGACAGTAGGCTCAACCATCTAAACTAAGAAGTTCGTGACATCTTTTTGGTCTGTAAAACCTTTTATAAATGACCGGTAAGTTCCCATACCTAATATAAAGATTAGACAAAATTTGTTTTACCTGGGTTCCAAGTTCCCTATAGAGACAAACCCTTATAGTTAACTACATCTTAAATGGCCAGGGTCACTTAAGAAGACTCTCGATTAAGATAAGTGGTTTTACCTTCCATATTTCAAAGTTTAGGTTTCCAAGATTAGACACAGGAAAGAAAATGAGAGTGACTCAAATAGGAACAGTTATTTTAAAGAATTCAAAGGAATGAAGAGTAGGAGACATCACAGATCCAGGAGAAACCCTGGTGATTTCACAACTATCATATTGTTTGACTTTATGTCTTTAAAATAATGTTATTCAATGTTTAATTCTGTAATTTACTTTAGAATTTAGGACTTACATTTGCACGATATCTGACCGTACAAATGACCTAAAAAGATAGGAGGATTTACACAGTACTGTACGGTAACATCGGAATCCTAAAACTGTTAGGACTTATAATTGCACAACAGAGTTGTACAAAATCCTAAAGATAAGTTGAGGATTTACGTTGTGCTAAGCAAACCACCTGAAAGTCCTATGACTTCTTATTTAAACTAAAAAAAAAATGCTTAGTTGACGTGAGCTTGTTTTGATGTTACAGATCCATCTCGAAGTTGCTCTTTTGTGTATCCTCATCGTGCTGTCCATGATGTTCACTCCAAGCTCCTCGTCGTAACACATTCGGATTCGACGTTAATTTAAAGGGTATATGCAATTGTTTAGTCAACGATCTGCTGCCGGGTATCTCCTATGAAACCAACTACTAGCCTTATACTCTAAGATATAGTGTGTATAGTTTCTTTGAAATAGTAGCAGATACGAGTATAATAACAGAATTTAAGAAATGAGCTAGCATGCGTTAAACTTCTTACGGGCAAATCCAACAAAAAATCCACCTGAAAAACTCAAGAAAGAGCGACAAATGACTCATGATGAAAGAAAACTCGAGAAAATTGACAAATGACTCACGACGGAAATCTTGAAGTAAAAAACAACAAATGGTAACTCAAAGAAAGTCTTCAAAAACACAGGAAAATCTAAAAAAAAACACGAGTGCTTTGCCAAAGTTCCAATAAGATCCCACAAAAAATTCGAAGAAAGAAAACTGCAAGCACGCGAGTCGGGGCTAGTCTCAAATATTATATATTGTACTCGAGGGACGTCGAAGGCTACTATCGGTCACCCGGATGTATAGAGCTCGCCAATCAACTAGAAGGATATCATACTAAACCTAATTTAGGAGGATACTCCTTAGCCTGATACTGGTAATCGGAAAATGGACAACCAAGTTACAATACATTTAAAATTTATATTTTAGCGTGCACATGAATTTCAGTCATACAAAAGGAAGTTGTATCAATTTTGTGATAAAAATATTTTTTATAAATATTGTATATGTTCTTATCATGTCTCTTCTTATCAGTTTTGAAAATTATGATTGTCCACGAGTCGATCACGCTGTCGGGCATAGGACCGCCAACAACTTAAGAAGGTACGAGTCCCCCTTTAGTCTTGTGTCGGTAAATGATATTATCATCCTACAGTTCATCAGATCCTTGGATTGGGTCTTGATGTCGTAGGATGAGATATCATTCCGCTCCACCACCGGCGTGCCTTTGTCATCACCACCCTAAGCCCCAAAACAAAACCGCCCTACTTGCGATCTTGTTTGATGGTTCATATATAGCAAAAGACTATATATGCGCACTTATGCATCAGACATAAGTACCAAAAGCCTAAACCAAGAAGCAAGGAAAGCAAAATAAAAATCAAGAAATGAAAAAGAAAGAAGACCAACCCCCTTAAAAAAAAATTTAGAAAAGAAAATGCAAAGCGACAAGAGGATTAGCCTAAAACATCCTATTGGTGGGACTTTATCAAATGAGTAAAAGAGGTGAAATGCACTTCCCATGCTAGCCATGAAACATCTCCAAAAGGTACAATTTATAAATCTCCAAACCACTTCCAAACTTTCACAAATATCACGAAGATTTCTTTTCTCTTCTTTCTTTTCATTTCGTCCTCTTTTCTCTTTTTTTTTATATTGCAAATGACCTAGCCCGCAGAATTGGGCCCCAAAACCTTTCCAAACATCTAACAGATCATTCCTTGAAAAAGAGCATTTTTGGATTCTTTCAAACATAAGAATTGAAGTATTCCACCTCACAAATATCGAAGCATTAAATTCCAATTCAAACCAAAAGTTCCATAAAGACATAAACTCAACAAAACATAGAGGAACCCAAACAGATGCTCTCGGATAGGAGCAGCAGAAGGAGCCACCAACCAACACTCTACACAAAAGAGTCATAGACATACAACCAATAACATCAAAGGAGAAGTCACCAGCCAACATTTCAACACAAAGGAGCCACGAGAGAGGGCTCACGGTCATGGAGATTAAAGGGGAAACCACCAGCCCACATTCAACACAAAGGAGTCACCGGAGAGGGCTCACGGCCAGGGATAGCAAAGGGGAAACCGCCAGCCCACATTCAATACAAAGGAGCCACGGGAGAGGGTTCACGGTCAGGGATAGCAAAGAGAGCAATTCGAGCCCAAGCCATACACAAAAAATTCATAGGCAAGGAATCACGGCCAGGAGGGCTCACGGCTAGGAAGGCCACCAACCATTTAAGATATAAATCCCCAACACAACAGGAAGACTCACAACAGGAAGGCTCACGGCCAGAAGAAGCAACACAGGGCCCCAAAGCAAGCCCCAAAAGCTTCAAAATCATACCTTACCATCTGCAGGTGTTTCGAACAGAGAAAGCAACCAGGAACAAAAGTAAACCTTCCTGAAATAAAGAAATAAATTTTAAAAGCTCTAAAAGCTCTCAAAAGACAACATTTCATCCAACATACGATTCGAATAGAGGGGCAGCAACAGGGAATCAAAGAACCAAGGCATGGAGGTTCACGGCTAGGGACAACCAAGGGGAGCAACACGAGGCCCTAAAAACAAGTTTTTTCAAAGCTCCAAAAATTAAATAAAATCACTTGCATGTGTTTCGAACAAGGGCAACCATAATAGGGAGCCAAAAATCAAGCCTCAAATTGATATTTCATATAATATGCATTTCAAATCACCATTTTTTTAAGCTCAATTCTAGCTCGATCTCGTGCAATTTAGTGGATTTTATGTGTGCTGATAAAATCTTAAAGGAGTTTCCCTAGTGCTTGAGTTCCTATTGGGAACTTCTATTTGATTTTCCACATGTTGGTCCTTAACCACTCGACCAAACGAAGATGGTTTGAGATCACACATGCGAGACACCACAAGAGAATCATGAAGTGGCTTGAATTTCTAATAGGGATGGATCCCAATACTAGTCCTCTAAGATAGTCAATAGGAATTCTTAGAGCTAGATCCTAGGATTTAAGGAGAAGAAATATGACCTCAAAATGAGGTCAACAAACATTTAGATCAATTGTTGTAGAAGGATTTCCATTTTACTGCAAGCTCTTTAATTCAAATCTATTTGGATCAACTTTTGAATTTCTTACTCATAGATTTAACATTGGTTTGAATTGTATTATATCCCATTTTTATATATGAAAAGAACTTGTTATTTGGATTGAATTTGTCATGTTAATAAAAAATTATTTCTTAGTTGAAAAGGAAAGTGAGCATTTTTACAAACTAATTTATCCTTTAAAGCCTTTCTCATGTAAAGTCCTCAAGGTCTTGATGGAGCCTTTAACTTTATTTAATATATCTTTTTGAAGCATTAAATGATTAATTTAATATGAGCAGTTGAAGTTTTATTTTAGGAAATTCTCATGCTATGCTTTGATTTTATGCCTGTATAAAAGCCTAAAAACGAAAAACATGGCTGGTAGTATCTCATTCCTTAATTGGAATCGTATTTTAAAATCACTTAATAATGTGTATATCTTCTTCTGTCTTTCGTGCTTTATTTCTGCGTTCTGCTACAGCTTATTTTACCTTGTCCCTCATTTCCTATGAATTTTATTTTTTACTTGATTTCTCGCATTATTTTCTGCAAAACTTTTCTTCTGCATTGCAATATTCTTTCTAGGCTTTTTCTATCATGATTTTTTTTTCTGGTTTTTTAGAAAGTTTCTCTAGTATTTATATTATATTGATGTAAATTATGAAACTTCTTGAATCATTCAACAAAAACTCTTATTTTGTTTTGCACTCGCTGCTTCCAAGCAATACGCCTCTCTTGTTTTTAGTTTTTCAAAAACATTGCTTTTAACTTGACAATCTTTTAATATATAAAACGGGATCGAGAATCCAGGTAACACACCTCTTTGTCCCGCTAGGGGCAGTCACGGCGTCACCTTCTTTGTCTCTCTCTTGGTTCTCATGCTACATACTTTGGGCATGATATAGATGTCATATTTAGATTCAACATATAGTGCAGTGAGCTTGGACATACCATCGACAAGAAAATGAGCGATACCGAGGAAAACACTTGTAGCAGAGAGGACATAAGGGAAAAATGACGCAGGATTAAATCGAAGCGGTCGAAACAGCTTGTGCGCATCTCCTGCCGGTCGACTCACGTCCAAATCTTATCGCCTGAAAGATTCCAGGAGACCCAAAATTCCAGGCTGTCGGTAAGTTCTGCCGATCAAGTTCCAAATGCCAGGAAATCTTGCAAATCGATCAAAATCTCTGCCGACGCCTCAATTCCCATCGTCTGTTGGGGTTATTTGCCGAAAGTTCCGCCGTTCACTGAAAATCCTAGCGAGTTGCAGCAAATCCGACAAGCCTAAATCTGCTATGTCCCGTTGGCCAAATCTTTTAGCTGGTTAAAAATAATCCCGCCATTCGACTCATCTTCCGACGACAATATCAGAGAGCCAAAAATTAGCCAACGAAGGATGGAGAGCACATGCGGTTTCTTTGGCTGTCGGAGTTCGGACGGACGACGACATACTTCTTCACCCGAGCGCCTAGAGACTTCTTCACTCATACAGCGACAGACTTTTTCATGCTGACGCTGACAAACTCATTCACGCTGACAGTGACAAAATTCTTCAACCTGAAGACCACAAACTTCTTATCGCAGACACCAACAAACTTTGTCACGCGAACGCAGGCTGACTTTTTCTTGCGGAGGGACGACAACCAAAAACTCCAGGCGAATGAAAAATTCAGGGGATCGACAATTCTGGACGACTAAAAAATTTCGGTGACCAAAATATTTGTCGACTGACACTTATAGACGATCGAAAAAGTCCGGCTACCAAAATTTCTAGTGACTAACAATTCTAGAAGAACGAAAAATTGCAGATGGCCGAAAAAATTGGATGAGCACTTCCGGGCGACTGAAAATTCTGAGCGACTGAAAAATTGCGAGCTACCGAAAAAAATTGTGCGATGTACAGTTCCGGGTGATAGAAATATCTAACAATTTTATTTTATTTTATTTTTCTCATATATATTTTTTTAAATACTACTTTATATATATATATATATATAAACTTTTCTAATTTCTACGTCCGACTGAGATGGGAGCAAGAGTTCACTTGCAATACTCGAAGAATTAGAATTCGATGGAGCAAATAAAAGACTCACCTCCGGGGCGAGCAAATTGTCAAACCTCAACGCTAAGTAGAAAAAAACCATGTCTCTAAACTCGGAACAGGAAAAAGCTCTGGAGGTTGTTCTTTGCCCAGCAGCGACAAGCTCCGCGAGTAGCACAGTGCAAATCACCCCGATAGTGAGTTTCATCAGTCAACCCCCACAAAGATAGCGACAAGATTCGCCTAAGACTAGACGAAATGTGAGGCCCGACCCAGAAAATGAGAAACGGGCTTTGTAAGACTTGAGCCAAGCGGTCAACGAATTACAATACACCAAAAAAGACTAAAGGTCTTTTTGAAAATCTAAGGAGCCAACCAACCCAATACGTCCAACTGTCGCAATCAAATTGTGCTGTAAAGGTAAGATACAAATTAAAAAAGGTAAAAAATGATTCAGAGCTTTATCTATTTTTTTTAATAAATCACTAACACTTCTTTACTAGTGTTGACTAAGTGATAGATTAAAAATCGGCCCCAAAAAACCTAAGGAGAGCACTTTGGAAACGGAGAAACCTATATGCTGAGAGATGTCGAAATCAAGGGACTATAATTGGTGCATTATTATGATTGCATTTTTTGGCGTATTTAAAGTCTCTCATTCTTTTCACTGCTTCATTTCCAAGATTTAAGAGACTTTGGGGCGTTTGTGTATGACCAAAAAGTGCCTCTGAGTACGAAATTGTGATTATCGGTACGAAAAGGTGCCAAAGACATGAAAATGTGCCAACGAAAATAATTCCCATGGGCAAGCTTGTACTTTTTGTATTTGTTCTCCTATAATCTATAAATAGGACTTTTTATGTATAAGAGGACTCGTGTCATTTTGGACTCTCCTCATTTCCTGTAAACAATCTTTTAATATATAAAATGGAAGCGGGAGCTCGGGAAACAACCACACTTTGCCTTGCTGGGGGCAGTCGCCGCGCCTCTCTCTCACTCTCTCTCTCTCTCTCTCTCTCTCTCTCTCTCTCTCTCTCGGTTCTCACGTTCTATGTTTTGGGCATGATCTACATGTCATATTCACATTGAACAATATTTGATTAATGTATTTTTTACTTATTTTTATTTTTTGTTTGTAAATTAACATGTTTTTGAAAACACTCAAAATAACTATTAGTTATTTTGAATATTTTTAAAAATAGTTATATTTTAATCAAATAACTATATTTTGTTTCATTTTAAAACATGCACAAAACAAAATATAAACAAAAATTAGAAAATAAAACAGAAGCCATCCCATACGGCCCCTAGATATTGTGATTGCTGGACTGTTGGTTCATCTTATGATGCAGTAATGATGTACTGTTTGTAATAGTTTTCTTGTATGCTTCTTTTCCGGTCATACTCAAGTAGGCTGTTTTCTTATTAGAAAATGAAATAAAAGGAATGTCCTTCAAATGAGAGCAGATGCCTATTTTGCTTAGATTGTAATTGTTATAAGCGTTAATTGACAACTAGAAGTTGTTTGGATGCTAAAATTAATATTGGCTGTTTAACTTTTCTTTATCTGCAGGCTGACATGGTTATCATCAGTCCCTTTTCATGGTCTATGCTTCCTCTGCACGACAGGTATGAACTGGAAATAGTTAATTCTTTGGTTTGAACTATTCTTCATAGTTTAAAGCTAAAACCCATGTGCTTGACAAGCGTTCGAGTGTCTAATGTCTGTGCAACGAAGTAAAAACTATACTGAAAATTTTAGTTTATAGTACTTCAAAACCAATGTTTTTTCTTTGCAAGCTTTCATTTCTACAATAATGTTTTTGATATGGGTGGTGTCAGATGGAGTTATCTCTCCCGAACAAAAATCGTAATGGTCTAGAATATCGGAATGACTAGCATCAGTTCCGTTAGAAGAAGAGATAGAGAAAGTGGGAAGTCGAAGTGAGGGAATGAGATGAGGGCCTCATGCGCCTATTGAAGAGAAACGATGGGGAGAGTCGTAATCACACGAGAAAGGTAAAGAGGGAGAAGAGTAAAGGCCGAAGCGAGCGATCAAGTGCAGCGTAGAAAGCCGAGAGTTGTGAACGATGCTTGAGATTCTTGCAATCAAGGGAGTAGAACAAGAAATCGAGTCGAGTGTGAGTAGGGGCTAGGCTGTCATGTCAAATGAGAGCCAACAAACAAACATGCTAAGGTGGATGCAGCCTTGAGCAGTTGCATGCCAAAGCGGCAATCGTACTTGAAGTGGGGAATGATAGTACAACTGCGACCATGATATGCGTATTGAACCGTGCATGTAAGCGAGAATAATGAGCTGAATCGATTGACGAACAAGCCATTCGAGCGACATCTGAGAGCAGTATTAAAGGTATTTGAGAAAATACTTAAGTGTAAATTTTATTAATTTAAAAATTATAGATATAAAAGGAACACATTAGAAAATTGAGAAATTTAAGAATGAATATATTTTGATATAAATTAGAAAAAATCTTTATAAAATCATAATATCATGCTGAATATTTAATTAGAAGATAAATACTAATAGCAATTTAATTATTTAATAGAATATGTGTGTGCAATGGCACGCTTGCGCATGTGTCCATATATTAGTTATCATCTATATACATTTGAGTGTTACTGAACATACTCTTATTTAATATATATATATATTATATATATATATATTGACATATGATAGTTAAATTTAAAATACTATTTGCAACTATTGAAATTAAACATGATTCTTATCTTCAACATATAGATGATAAATTAAAAGTTATAATTAAATAAGAGTATGTTTTAATTAGTAATAGTTTAATAATATAGTTGTCATAATGAATAATAATTGGGCAAATATTAAATATTTTCATGTGATAAATTAAATAAGATTTATATTAAATAAAGAACACAATGTGAAAGAAAAATTTAGTACAAGTTGTTTATATTAAATAAAGTTGTAATATTAATAATTTAGCTAGAGTGATATGTATACTTAAAATGAAGGGTTTCAACTAATAATTCTAATAATAAAATTATATAAAATATTAGTTAAGAATAATTAAATAATATGATTAAAAATTATATTTTCTTTGCTTTTATAGACATCAAATTTTAAGAGATTAAATTCAAAGGTGTAAGAAGGTTGAAGACAAGCCAACTGTCATAAAGTGAATATTCTTGTTTTTAAGTTATGACAATTTTATTATTTTTTTAGACTAAATTCATCAATTGATTTTGATTATTGTTCATTAGAATCTTGTTGCAAAGTATTTCATAATTGACTTGTTCTATTAAAGTGATAATGAAATTATTGACATAATTTTTCTTCATATTTTTAGATTATTGATATATTTTTGAATTATTATGTAAGTATATTGTTTTACATGAAATGGTGAATGAAATGACCTTCATAGAATGCTTTCGTTTGTCTAATTGACTGATGGAGTTCTCCTATGTATGATATTAGTTGGGGATGTTAAAGTACCCATGCACATAAATTGGAGAAAAATATTGATATTGATGTGCATTAATTGATTCAAAATTTAGATTATACTCCTATAATGAATGTATATATGCATAAAAGAGATTGATTTGTAAATGGTATGATATATGATTGAGAATTTAGCTTGAAGATTGTTAATTGCTTGAAAATTAATTCAAAATTTAGCTCGGATTGAGATCACATTAAAATAAACGAGCTAAGTTATGAGCCGAAATCATATATCAAAATTTTTTCGAGCCAATTTCAAGCCATATATAGATCACCTCGATTTTTTTTTATTATAATAAATACTTCAGTCATCTGTCACGACACATCCCGTGGCTTAGTGTTAACCAAGGCATGTACAAATAATTGAAATGTGAAAAATTAAATTTTCTATATTCATTTTTCTATAAGTAACATTTAACAGGTGATATAGCCATTTAAAAAAATAAATTAAAGCATTATAATTAAATTTACCTCAGTACTAGTTGTTCACATCTTCTATAAATATTTCATCTTCTATTGCTCATTTTTTAATCTCTTAATTAAACATGAAATATTAATATAAAATATTAGTGAGCAAACCAGAACTAGTGAATACTCATTATTAAATTATAGTAATACAATGAAAAGAGAATAATATGCATGCAATTGAACTTTATGTATATCAATCTAAGCGAATTTGAAGGCTTACACTATTTAATATGATCATTCAATGTAATTCTAAATATTTACGATATTTTACTGTATCGTTTACATATCAATATTTTTTTAATCCGTATAAAATCATCATAGGAGCATTGTCTAAAAATTTATATCAGTTAATGTACTTCAATATCAATATCATTTTTCCTTACGTGCATGAGTATCTTAGCGTTTTTTCAGTAAATAACATAAACGGGTGACTCCATCATAGACAAACATGCACATACAAACAATCAAAATAGTAAATCTCATTCTTATTTTACTTTTATAACATTCAACACATAATATAATATCTTAAATTATGCATTTAATGAATATATACAAATATCAGTGACATGCAATTCAAAATAATCAAATGAACTTAAAAAGCAAATAAATTAATTTGATTTTTATCTTTCAATATAAAATTCATCTAAGCAATTAGCAGTGTATCAAGTTTAGAAGAAATCAGATATAATTTTGAAGTATAAGTACTCACCTCAAAATCATATGACTTGTCTTAAATCTTCATGCACGCTTAATCTTTGTCTCTAATAGTTAGCTGTCATAACAAATATATTTTGATGCATATCATTAGTTATGTTTAATTAGTCTTTTAAGTAATAATAAGAAATTTTTATTTTAAGCATTCAAGTTATTTTAATTTGAATATTAAAACTATAACTTAATCAACATTTATGATTTGTATTAAATTTTATTCAACTTCCTTGCTCGGACTCGAGCTCTACTTTTCTTGCTCGCACTGTCTCCTCCCTCTTTTTCATTCTCCTTCCTTCAGTTCGGGCACGACGTCGCCTCCTCATTCAGCTACGCAAGCTTCGACCTTTCGCATCCGAAATCGGTCTTTCCTTCTCTATCTTTTTGTTCTTCTTCTACTTTTGTCTTCAACCGCTGTCTCTCGCTCTCCCTCTCCCTCTCCCTCTTTTTCTATTCAAAATAAAACGATACATTCCTCGACTGTTAAAGCGAACTTGTAGAGATCCTTGACCCTTAAAACGTACCTGTAGAAACAAGCCTATTCCTCGACTTTTAACCATAGCCTCAATCTTGGACTGGTCCACTACTACCCCCATTTTGGTCGCCACATGCCCTAGGTACTCCACCTGTAAGCGTGCAAAAGAACATTTCTTCATACAACTGGTGCTCCCTCAAACTCTCCAGGACTATCCTCAGGTGCCTCACATTCTCTGTCTCTGTACGACTGTAGATCATGTTATCATCAAAGAAAACTAGGACAAATTTTCGGAGATAAGGTTGAAAAACTATATTCATGAGGGATTGAAATGTCGATAGGGCGTTGGCGAGGCCAGACAGTATCACTAAGAACTAATAATGTCCTTCATATATCCTGAATGTTGTCTTGTGCACATCCGCTAGATTCATTCTGATCTGGTAGTATTCTGACTTAAGATCAATTTTTGAGAAAATGACTGCCCCATAAAGCTCATCCAATAACTCATCAATCACAGAAATAAAAAACTTGTCTAACACCGTTTCCTTGTTCAAAATTCGGTATTCCTTGCAAAATCTCCAACCACCATATTTTTTCTTCATCAACAGGACGAGACTGAAAAAATGACTCACACTAGGCTTGATAATCTCAGCCTCAAGCAACTTTCAGATAAACTTCTCTATCTTATTCTTCTAAATATGGTGGTGCCTGCATTGCCTGATGCTGATGGGAGAAACACCTGCCTTCAATGTAATAGCGTGCTCGGCTCCCTCCGAGGATGTAACCCTCTTGGTTGTTGAAAAACATCAGTAAAATGCTGTAGTAGTTGTTAGACCCTTTCCAAAAACTCTACCAACTTTGAATCTTGAGCCTCCTCAATGCTCTGCAACTCCACCTAGTAACTCGGTCCCGCTCCCCTCCCCGAATTGAGTTGACCATGGTTTTGAGCGACACCATGGTTTTGCATAAACTAGCATCTCCTCTTAGCATCACCTTCCTACCCTCCACTTGGAACTCCATCGTCAAGGACTTCATTCCCCCCCTCCCCCAATGTTTGCAGTCACTTCATCCCCAAAATTACATGTGCTGCCCATGTAGTGTCAGAACCAATCCCTTGCTGATTTCCCGACTTTTCTCCTTCTTCCTTGTCCTCGTCATGACGCCGAAGCTCGCTGTAGTCACCAGCTTGAACCCTAGCTTCTTCATGATTTGAGACAAAGTTATGTGTGACATCGCTATCCACCAACACCGCAATTGGTTGTTCCACGATCCATCTCCTCACCTTCATAACATGATTTAGGGTAAATCCCACCACCGAATTGCGGGACACCACCACATCCAAATGCAGATGCTCCTCTGCTGCTTCATTTTTTAATTCCTTACTCTTTATATCCTCATCCTGAACTAAAAGAACCTGAAGGGCGCACTTTTTGCAACGGTGTCCTGGGAGTATTTCTCATCACAATGTTAACACAATCTTTTGGC